ACACGGACAACAAAAGAGTGTATGACGCCAGTTGCTTTTATCACGTGCTATTTCTTCCCCACTCCCCTCATTTACCCCTTTCATAGCTCATGTGCAGCTAGATGGCGTAAGACGCCATTACGACAATCTTCCTCCCGTGTCCTCCCCTCTCCCCCATAAACCCTTCTCTCACGGGCAGCAAAATAGCGTATGGCGCCATCACGCCAACATTCCTCCAGTGTTCTTACCTTCCCTCTCCCTCCTTGTAGAGCTCTCTCAGCTTACGGTCGGTGTACGACTCCGTCAATATTTTTGTTTCTTTTTATTATAATTAATTATTCCTTCTGTCAAACTACAGATGATCATAAAACAAGCTAGAGATGGTTTTGAGAGGACCATCACTTCATTTGCACGAATGCGTCGACATGTAAGTAACACGTTACGTTGCGCAAAATCATTCGGAAAAGTTGTCTACATGCATACATCTATGCATACTATATGATATATTATTATCCTTGTATACAAACACGTTAACAAAATTGTTTTTTCTGTTCTTAACATTTTTTCACAGGAGGACAAAACGGCTATTGTGAACAACAACAACAAGCGCATGGCACAAGATGCCCCTCCACCCGTTCCCGCAACACCTTCGAAAACTCCTCAGCGTCGTGGTGACCATGTAGGTGCTGCTTTGTTTTGATTGTTTAATGGTTTCATTGTTTTTTCATTTCATTCTTGTTGGTTTTTCGTCAACTGACTCTGTCTAAGCATAATACAAGCCCGTTTCAGTGTTTAAGGTTTTCTTTTTTCTTCTCTATACTTGTACTTGTATCGGTTTCTGCCTAGGATGGAAGTGGTGCTCCAAAAGTTTGATTGTAAGTTTGAGATTGTCTGCGTGTAAAAGTGGATGCAAACTTGTGTATGTATGAGTATGTGTGTAAGTACATATCCATGCATGTGTCAGACTAATTTTCAAATTGTAATTTAACGTATTTGTACTCTCTCTTTTTTCTGTGCAGGACACAAGAGTCTAATCCTGCAAACAGAAGGAATGGAAGAGGGTGGAGAGAAAAGAGGGGGTAGAAGGGAAGCAGAAGGGACAGAAGTATCAAAGGAAAACATAGGCGCAAAGAGGACAGAGTGAATAGCAATTATGCATCTTTGATACATCGCAGCTATACTTGTGTGCATTAGCTTTGTGTGTGTACCGCATGCGTCGACTCCTTGTCCGTGGCGCCGTCCTTCATTTTCTTTACGTTTGTGTGTTTTCCAATGTGGTATTGTCATCGTGATGTTTTTGTCGTTTGTGTCGTTTCACGGTGTGATAAAGTGTTTCTGGTTCTGGTTTGTGTGTTTCCGTGTCCATCGTTTATCGTTTGTTGTTTGTGTGATTTCGTTGCGTGGTGCTAGATTGTGCCGGGTCTGCGATTGAGATGGGGATCGTTGTTGGGGCAGCGTTGCTTGCCTTAGCATACCGGAACCATCTCTTTTGTAGCACCGGTGCATTTTAGCATTCACTAGTAGTACGTGTTGTCTCTCACTTTATCACTGTTGATACGCGGCATCGTTTATCGTTTGTTGCTTGTGTGATTTCGTTGCGTGGTGCTAGATTGTGCCGGGTCTGCGATTGAGACGGGGATCGTTGTTGGGGCAGCGTTGCTTGCCTTAGCATACCGGAACCATCTCTTTTGTAGCACCGGTGCATTTTAGCATTCACTAGTAGTACGTGTTGTCTCTCACTTTATCACTGTTGATACGTGGCATTGTTCATCGTTTGTTGCTTGTGTGATTTCGTTGCGTGGTGCTAGATTGTGCCGGGTCTGCGATTGAGATGGGGATCGTTGTTGGGGCAGCGTTGCTTGCCTTAGCATACCGGAACCATCTCTTTTGTAGCACCGGTGCATTTTAGCATTCACTAGTAGTACGTGTTGTCTCTCACTTTATCACTGTTGATACGCGGCATCGTTTATCGTTTGTTGTTTGTGTGATTTCGTTGCGTGGTGCTAGATTGTGCCGGGTCTGCGATTGAGATGGGGATCGTTGTTGGGGCAGCGTTGCTTGCCTTAGCATACCGGAACCATCTCTTTTGTAGCACCGGTGCATTTTAGCATTCACTAGTAGTACGTGTTGTCTCTCACTTTATCACTGTTGATACGCGGCATCGTTTATCGTTTGTTGTTTGTGTGATTTCGTTGCGTGGTGCTAGATTGTGCCGGGTCTGCGATTGAGACGGGGATCGTTGTTGGGGCAGCGTTGCTTGCCTTAGCATACCGGAACCATCTCTTTTGTAGCACCGGTGCATTTTAGCATTCACTAGTAGTACGTGTTGTCTCTCACTTTATCAGTGTTGATACGCGGCATCGTTTATCGTTTGTTGTTTGTGTGATTTCGTTGCGTGGTGCTAGATTGTGCCGGGTCTGCGATTGAGATGGGGATCGTTGTTGGGGCAGCGTTGCTTGCCTTAGCATACCGGAACCATCTCTTTTGTAGCACCGGTGCATTTTAGCATTCACTAGTAGTACGTGTTGTCTCTCACTTTATCACTGTTGATACGCGGCATCGTTTATCGTTTGTTGTTTGTGTGATTTCGTTGCGTGGTGCTAGATTGTGCCGGGTCTGCGATTGAGATGGGGATCGTTGTTGGGGCAGCATTGCTTGCCTTAGCATACCGGAACCATCTCTTTTGTAGCACCGGTGCATTTTAGCATTCACTAGTAGTACGTGTTGTCTCTCACTTTATCACTGTTGATACGCGGCATCGTTTATCGTTTGTTGCTTGTGTGATTTCGTTGCGTGGTGCTAGATTGTGCCGCGTCTGCGATTGAGACGGGGATCGTTGTTGGGGCAGCGTTGCTTGCCTTAGCATACCGGAACCATCTCTTTTGTAGCACCGGTGCATTTTAGCATTCACTAGTAGTACGTGTTGTCTCTCACTTTATCAGTGTTGATACGCGGCATCGTTTATCGTTTGTTGTTTGTGTGATTTCGTTGCGTGGTGCTAGATTGTGCCGGGTCTGCGATTGAGATGGGGATCGTTGTTGGGGCAGCGTTGCTTGCCTTAGCATACCGGAACCATCTCTTTTGTAGCACCGGTGCATTTTAGCATTCACTAGTAGTACGTGTTATCACTGTTGATACGTGTCATCGTTTATCGTTTGTTGTTTGTGTGATCTTGTTGTGTGATGCTAGATTGTGTCAAATTTGCATTTCACATAGGGATCGTTGTTGGGGCAGAGTTGTTTTCCACATGTTGGGTTGGGTGCGTGTTGTCTCGTTAATTGTGTTGGGTGTCAATTGTGACGACCAATTGTTCCATTCGCCGTATTTATCGACGATTATGGAATGATTGGTTACATTTGGTTTCACTTCTTTTGGAGCTCTTATGTATCAGTGTCGGCATCTCCACGTCTCTGGAGCACTCAAAAAAAAGAAAGAAGAAAAAAAAAAGGAGTGCTTCAGACGTTGAGAAAAGACGAAAAAAAACACTGTTCATTCGAGGCGACCGAAAAAAGTGCTACCAAATGTAAAGGGGTTGCTACGCAACCCAAAAATGAGCTACTAAACGGAAGGATGTAACCACTGCATTGTTCCAAAAGGGAGAGGACAGACGGAACTAGCAGAAGCGCTGGATAATGCGGATTGGGAGAAGCAGAGAGGGCAGAAGCAGAGTGATAGCGGATCAGGCGGGTCATTTTCGTTGGTTTACAGCTGACTTTCTAAGGTCCAGTTGGATGCGCAATGGTCTGAAGCGGTGAATACCACTCACTCATCCCACTGTTGGATATTTGGGCCGGATGACTGAAACGAAAGCTGGAAACCAACGGAAGCGAAGCCGTGAGAAGCACGCGTTCCTTGTTCGGGTGCTTCAACCTCTTTTGCAGTCTATAGTCGGTGGAGTTCGGTTCAAAACTGCAAAGAGTGCAAATTGCTTTGGCGGTAGGGCTGGCGAAAGGAGATCAAGCTACACATTGGCAGTTGGCAATTGGCTAGCAGGCAAATGTAGGGAAAGCTGACGGTTGGTCGCAAGGTGCTGTACGGGAATCTCAATTTGTTCCATAACAGCCTTGGGGAACACGTCATTCCATTGACAGGTAGACTCGGGACCAACATCTGAGAAAGCAAATTTGATTGGTCACGAAAGTTCTCAGTTGTAGCATGATACATGACCGTATGTCACTTGTGGTGGGTTTTACCTTTATATGTAAAGGGAAAAGCCAAGCGGGGACAATACAACGTAAACTACACTCAAACCAACCCAGTAAAATGTGTTCAGCTGAACGAGGCTATTCTCTAATAACGTCTAGAAAACCTTAAGACAGGGAATTGAAGTACCCTATAACTAAAAGTGCAGACACTGATGCAAATGTACGTGACAATTGTGGTGGGTTTTACCTTTTCCAAAGCTTGTTGATAAAACCCGAAACATTCTGAAAAGGAAAAAGGGTAAAAAAATGAGAAAGGGTCGAATGCAGTGGGCACACAATGGGTTGAGAGCAGAGCACACAAAAGGACGCCGAAATAAACTGGGAAGGCACGCACAAGCGCATCACTCAAATAAGATAAGAACAAGTGCAGGAGAACAGATACGGCGAAAATGCATATGACGGGAAAAAGCAGCTTCAAATGCAGATGGACCAGTCGTTTCCTCCTACCAAAGCTACCTGCTCCATCTGCCGCATACAATTTTTGAGGCGCCTAAAAAAACGTCTCAATCTTTTACACGCCTCAAAAATTGCCTTCCTACCAGAGCTACCTGAGCCAAGGATAGGGTATGAGAGGAAGGGCATGACACCAACATATACACAGACGCGGGCAGGCAGGAAGAGCCAGAGAAACCAATTCAACACCCCTAATGGTGCCAGAAGGAGCATGCATAGTCCTAGTTAATTGAAAACACCCTACTGGCACTGTCAGCCTGCTGACCTACCTCGTTGCAAGTTGATTTTCAGAATTCTCAAAAACCATCAGGAGCAGGCAGAGCAGCAAGTTAGAAATACACCCGACTGGTGCCATATAGGTATTTATCTAGCATCATGCCTTACCTTTTTTTCTTGACCATGCCCTGCTGCAGGCACTGCTGCCCCGCCTGCTGGTCCTCCTGCTCCTGCCCCTCCTGCTCTTGCTGCTGCCACACCCCCGTGCACCCAACCATTTCCACCGTACCCACCACCATTTGCACCGTACCCACCACCATTTCCACCGTATCCACCACCATTTGCCACACCATCCCTCCGACCGGGTTTCGAACCAGCAAAAGCAGCGGCAGCAGCCGCGGCCGCGGAAGCATCGGCAGCAGCATCGGCAGCAGAGGCAGGCGGGAGGGTGGCAAGGTGAGGAGTGTGTTTGGGGGGGGGTCGGCCTGCTGCTGCAGCAGCGATGTTAAGAGCTGCAGAGGCGAAAGCATTGGATCCGGGTGTGTGTGAGGCAATACCCCTGGCTAAACCACTGCCTGCACCGAAACCAGCACCAGCACCAAAACCAGCACCAGCACCAAAACCATTCCCCCCACCGAAACCATTCCCAGGACCGAATGCTGGAAAGGAAGGAGCTCCCCCTAAAAGAGGGGCTCCCCCCAACAGAGAAGCGCCTCCCAACCCAGGCGCTCCCCCCAACCCAGGCGCTCCCCCCAACCCAGGAGCACCGGGAAAGCCGGCAACAGGAATTGAAGGGTCGATGGCAAGTTGAGGAGGGCCGAAGGCAGAAGCAGGGGGAGGAGCAGCACCCCCCAAAGCACGACCGGAATCCTCTGCACCACTTGATATCGCACCAGAACCGCCCAAACCGCTTGAAACCTCACAGAACCGATTATCAGCAAAAGGCAATCCGTTACGAGCCCCAGACCCTGACGGTAAGCCCATCCCTCGTTCCTCCAGCTCACTACCAGCGACGTTATAAGCGCCCTCATTATAAGCACTCCCATTATAAACACTCTCCTGGTCAGCATCCCCGTCACTCATGTTGTGATAACTCTCGTTATAAGCACTCTCATCACACGCACTGTTTCTCTCAAAAATCCCTTGCTGCCTCCCAGCCCCAAGGGAGGGTTTCACCTTACGAGCCAACATTCTCTGCTGAAACACTTCTGTGAACCCCCCTCCTCCTCCTCCCTCCTCACCTTCCTCCTCCTCCTCCTCCTCCTCCTCCTCCTCCTCCTCCTCCTCCTCCTCCTCCTCCTCCTCCTCCTCCTCCTCCTCCTCTCTGCCCACACCCCTGAAACCACCCCTCTCCACCTCCCCATCTCCCTGCCCTACGCCTCTTCCTCCTCCACGCCACTCCCATTCACTAGACTCGAAGCTCTGTCGACCACCAAAGCCGCTCTCCATATAAGCATCCTCGTTACAAGAACTGTTCTGCTCATCAATCCGTCCCGGCCTCCCACCTTTAAACGAGGGCTTGGCCATTCGAGCCAGCCCCATCCTTTGAAACTTCTCAGTAGCCCCGCCCCATTCATCCCCATCCTCCTGCTCCGGGTGTAGGTTCGGGCTGGCACCTCTGGCTCCAGCAACATTTCCCGAACCTGCCCTCGCCAAACCACCTGCCACGTTTCCCGAGCCGGCCCTTGCCAGACTTTGGAATGGGGATTTCGGCCCCACAGGGTACAAGGCCCCAAAACCTTTTGGTACAGAGACTGATTTAATAAACGGTAATTTGCCGAGTTTATTAGGTTTCGCATGTGCCAAGCCGTTGTTACCGCCGGAAGCAACAGCAGCAGCACCGCCACAAACACCACCACCAGCAGCACCAGCATCAGCAGCATCATCCCTTGCTGCAGCTTCAGCATTCGCAAGAGCTGCTGTGAGCGACTCAGGTGCTTCCACCTCTACCCCACCTGCGAGTTCAGCTGCTGCTACTCTCAGCAAGTAACTTTCTCGTGCCCCAAGGCCAGACCCTGCCTCTCCAGCACCTGAATATTCACCTGTGTAAGCGAATGCTCCTTCTGCTGCTGCTGCTTCCACGTCAGCAAGAGCAGCTTCTAAAGCCGCAGCTGCCCCTTCCTCCATTGCATCTGCTTCTGCAGCTGCGGCTGATGAAAAACGGTTGAGAGATACGTTGTTGCCTGAAGAAGCTGCGCCAGGCTTTTTCTCAAGTGCCCCATAGAACCCCAGACCAGGCCCCACTGCTGCGTCGGGTGAATCCTCAGGTGCCTCATAGTATCCAGAACCAGGCCCCACTGCTGCGTCAGGTGAATCCTCAGGTGCCGGTGCTTCTGGTGCTTCTCCTCCCTCTACTCCCTCTCCTCCCTCTCGCTCTCCCTCTCCAACACTCAACGCTGCAGTCATCTTGAGCACCTGTGCTTTCCACTGCTCCTTCAGCAATGCCTCATCTTCCTCCTCTTCATCTTCTCCCTCCCTCTCCGCCTCCTCCGCCTCCTTGCTTCCCCCCACTTTCCCACCCTCCTCAGCTTCCTCCCTTTTCATCCACCCCGTCTCCTCCCCTCCCTTCCCCCTCGCCCTCTCAGCCTCCTGCTCTTCGTTTTTTTCCTTGTTCATCCACCCATCCTCCTCGCTTTCCTTCCCCATTCCCTCCTCAGCTTCCTCTTTTTTTATCCACCTTGCATGCTCCCTGGCAGCAACGCTAGACGCAGTTTGAGGCGCCTCAAAACTAGCAGCAGAACTAGACGCATCTGCAGGCACGATAGCAGGGGCTGGGATAGCGGGTACGGGAGCAGGGGTAAGAGGTAGGGGGTCAGAAATAGCGGGTAAAGGAGCAGGGGCAACAGGTAAGGGGGCGGGGGCCGCAGGCAGTGAGGCAGGGGTAGCAGGTAGAGGCGTAGCAGCAGCAACAGGAGCAGCAGCAGCAACAGGAGCAGCAGCAGCGACCGGAGCAGCAGCAGCAACAGGCGTAGCAGCAGCGACAGGAGCAGGCGATGCAGCCATGGGAGCAGCAGCAGAAGAGGAAAGGGGCGGGATGGTAAGAGGGAGAGCGTTTTGGCTCCCCAGGACCAGCTGAACGCGCTGTAGCTGTTCCAGCAGTTGCATCTGCAGCAGCTGAAGCTCCTGCATCGTCGGCATTTCTCCTCCTCCTGCTGCTGCTGCTGGCGCTGCTAGTGTTGCCGCTTCTGGAGATGTTGCCAGTGCTGCTGCTGCCAAGGGTGGTGTGGGTGGTGCTGCAACGGCTGGTGGAGCTGCAGGTGCTGCTGGTGGTGCTGCTGAAGGCACTAGCTTCGCACCCGTTCCTGCTGCGTGTAAAGCTAGACTTGTCAAGTGTGCAGCCACGCTGCTGGAAACATTGCGACTGGCAACTGCGCTGTTCATAACAGTGTCACTGGTAGTGGTTACCGTGTAACTGGTAACAACAGTCTTATCAATAACTTTATCATTGATAAAGTTGTCCCCAACGATGCTTTCTGAAGCGGCTGCATCATCGTCAGTGGTGCTGCTGCCACTATAGATGGGTGCCAAAGTCCCTCCGATGCGCCCTCCCATACCCATTTCTCGCCCCATTTGACCATGCATTGAGTGCAGCGGCTGTTGCTGCTGCTGCTGCTGCTGCTGCTGCTGCTGCTGCGACAGTTGCCGCTGCTGAGTGGTGCTGCTGCCACTATAGATCGGTGCCAAAGTCCCTCCGATGCTCCCTCCCAGGTCTCGCCCCATTTGGTAATTCCTTATTTGTTGCTGCTGATGCTGCAGCTGTTGCTGCTGATGCTGCAGCTGTTGCTGCTGATAAGCCAGTTGCTGCTGATTCTGCTGATGTTGCTGCTGTTGCTGTTGATAAGTGGGTTGCTGCTGTTGCTGTTGATAAGTGGGTTGCTGCTGTTGCTGTTGATAAGTGGGTTGCTGCTGTTGCTGTTGATAAGTGGGTTGCTGCTGTTGCTGTTGATAAGTGGGTTGCTGCTGTTGCTTTTGATAAGTGGGTTGCTGCTGTTGCTGTTGATAAGTGGGTTGCTGCTGTTGCTGTTGATAAGTGGGTTGCTGCTGTTGCTGTTGAAAAGTGGGTTGCTGCTGTTGCTGTTGATAAGTGGGTTGCTGCTGTTGCTGTTGATAAGTGGGTTGCTGCTGTTGCTGTTGGTAAGTGGGTTGCTGCTGTTGCTGTTGATAAGTGGGTTGCTGCTGTTGCCGTTGATAAGTGGGTTGTTGCTGTTGCTGTTGATAAGTGGGTTGCTGCTGTTGCTGCTGATTGTGCCGCTGTTGCTGCTGTTGATACATAAGCTGCTGCTGCTGCTGCTGCCGCTGCTCCTGCTGAAGCCTTTCATTCAAGCCTGCAGTCAACACCTGCTGGCTTGCCCCAGGCGGCTGCTGGCTGATTCCTGACGGCCGCTGGCTAAGTCCTGACGGCTGGTGGTTAAGTCCCAACGGCTGCTGGTTTGACCCTGCGGATGACAGCAGGCTATCACCTGACGACTGCCGACTCATTCCTGACGGCTGCTGGCTGAGTCCTGACGGCTGGCGGTTCGACCCTGATGACAACAGGCTATCACTTGACGACTGCCGGCTGATCCCTGACAGCTGCGCTCGCACACCGTACTGCTGAGGCCACTCACCGTTCTGAAGAGGCCTCCCACCGTACTGTTCAGCCCTCTCACCGTACTGCAGAGGCCTCTCACCGTACTGCATCCCGTGCGCATGCTGTACCCGTCCCCTTCCCGAATCACCTCCAGATGACTGCTGGCTAGCCCCTGAACCTTGACGTCCCAGGCTGGTCTGAGGCGTCACGGCAGTTCCGTAGCTTGCTGCTCGGCCGCTGGCTTTCTTTTTGAATACTTGAGTGTATCCGCCATCCTCATCCCCGTTATTAACCGCCCCGTTTGCGCGGGTCTTTCCAGGAGCGAGGGCGGGAGTGGCGGAGGATTTGCTTTGCCAGTCGCCGAAGGAGGGGAGGGCCACGCTAGAGACGGATGCCTGAGAGCGGCGGAGGGGGAAAGCGGAAGGGGGGAGGGGGAAAGCGGAAAGGGGGAGGGGGAAAGCGGAAAGGGGGAGGGGGAAAGCGGAAAGGGGGAGGGGGAAAGCGGAAAGCGGGAGGGGGAAAGCGGAAAGGAGGAGGGGGAAAGGGGAGTGGGGAGGGGGAAGGGGGAGGGAAGGGGGAAGAGAGGCGAGTCGGAACAAGGGGAGGGGAAAGGGAGGAACGGGGGGTGAGGAGAAGGAGAGGGGAGAATGGACAGAGACAATAACAAGATAGTTCAGGGGGGTTTCGAGAGAAGAGAAAGGTCGTTTCACGTTTCAATTTCTTGTTGTTTTGACGCAAGATGGACTAAAGAATGGCACAAATTCGAGCCACTTAACAAGAAAAACTAGGTCGGACGATTGTGAGTCAAGCATTTATTTATGCAGGATGCTCTTAGAAGGGTTTTCGAAGAGGAAGTAACAGCAAATGGCGAGATTTTTTTTTTTTGGGTGAAAAAAAACCAAAAAACCAGGTCCAACAGTGGGAGCAAAAAAGTAGTGTCTGACGGGAAACGATTAGTTCTAGGTCGTCTACCCTCACTGTTTTCGCTCTTAAAACTCATCGCTGTCGCTCGCTCTTTTATCACATTATTCTCGCTTTTGTAACTCATTTTTGTCGCTCAACTATCTCATTATCTTCGCTCTTGTATATCATTCTCGTCGCTCTTATTACTCGCAACTGTTGCTCTGCTGGGTCAGTTAGCTTCTCTTACCTTTCCCTTAAGACGATTCTTGAAAACGATGCCTCCCTTTTTACCGCTGACGTGGCTGTTGACTGACTCGGAGCTTTCACTGGAAGTGACGCTTCTCGATTCATCGTCCATGGCTTTGACAGGAAATGACACGTGGCTGTGGATGTAGACACAAAAACTTTGGAGAATGACACGTGGTTTGTCAAAGAATATCCCTTGAAATCGAGAACGAGGCTGTGACCAGGTTGCTAGCACCAAGTAAGTAGCTCACGCGTGGAAAAGCAACCACATGCTGGAATGCGGGGAGTAACCGAGAAGCGAGCTAGGATAGAAAACGATGTGACCACTGCTTCCTTCCAAGCAGAGCGGACACACGGAAGAGAAACAGACAAGTGATGGTTGATAACTCGATAAAGAAGCTTAGGAGTGATTTGCTGAGCTGATAGGAAGCGAATTGACAGTGGTGTTAGTGTTGTGTCGCTTCGCTGAGGGCGAAAGAGAAGAAAGGAACCTGGGCGATGTTCGGCAGCCCAAGGGATCTAACGAGAGATGAGTCGAGGCATCGGCAGGCACACGTGGGGAAAGCTGACGATTGGTCGTTTGGAGTCAAGCCAATGCAGTGTTCCCTATGTGCGCCGGAGCGGACACCATCGGGCCACCCATCAGCCTTGGGAGATACGCGGTCCGTAATGGACGACAAGAGGAATCTTGCCAGTGTCGAGTACGAGAATCGATTGGTTACGATCTTTCTGTACCGTCACGCAACTTGATACGTGAGGCTTATACGCGATGTTGCTCTAACGAAATACAGATTTTTAAAGATGGGAAAATATCACGAATAGGTGCATGGCATAATTTCTCAAAGGAAAAACATAAGCAAAGTGTTCATATTCAACTTTCATATTTATGTCCGCATTCATAAAGCTGGACGTTTCGAGGCGCGTCTCGTTGAACTGAACGCGCGTAACCTAGGATACGACCACCAGCATAAGCGATGCGCCGACTTTTCCAGTCGCCCTCATCGCTCCCTCGCCAGCAACGTCGCACTCCAATAACCAGCGGTCGTTCGTATCGCACAAGCCGTGCTACACGCTTCAACGCATTCTTCTTCCTCCTCGTTCTTTCGCTCGGCGGCTCGCTGATTCTGCTCTGGCGACTGCAGCTCCAGCAGCGGTCGGTAACGGATGACGGGAACCGTTTAACGCTGTCGGAAAAAGTGACTGAGACGAACGTAAATGCAGGGAAGGCAGGGCAAGCGGAGAATAAGGGTTCTGGTAGCACCGGCAGCAGCAGCAGCAGCAGCAACACCGCTAATGGAGGCGAGAGTAATCTAATCACGCCTTTATTAGATGCTGACGCTGATGACGATTACGATGATGGGGATTTCTTATCCCTTGGATCCACGGATGCCACGTCAGCAGGAGTTGAGGAAGGAGCGGGAGCAGCAGGCAAACGAGCCGCGATTGGCGGAGAGGATGAGAAATCTGCTGATTCGATTCGCAAGTACGAGATCTGCAAGAGGTTGATTCAGAGGCCGCCGCTTGTGTGCGCGCATGGGGGCGATTCGTTCTCCGCCCCTCCCAACTCGGTAACCCCTTCCCCCACCCCGCTCCCCCTTCCGCCCCCCTCTCCCCTTCCCCCACTTTTTCCACGCCGTCCCCCCCGCCTCCGCCCCTCCCAACTCGATAAGCCCTTTTCCGTTTCCTTTTTTTTTTTTATCTTGTGAGGTGGGAAAAAAGGGGAAAGATAGAGGAAAAAAGGGGAGGGGGGAAAAAAATATCTTCATCCCGCACCATCCCCGTTGTTCTTGTTGTTTCAAATTTTCCTTTTTTTATGCCTGCCCGTTTGCCAGCTGGCAGCGCTCGAGAGGGCGGTGGCGGCGGGGGCAGACGCGGTGGAGGTGGACGCGTCACTCACTGCAGATGGACACCTGGTGGCACTGCATGACAGGCGAGAGGAAGGAAGGGGGGAGGTTTTCCGATAGGTGTGAGTGCCGGTACAATGTGGTGGGAATGGTGTGGTGTGCGGTAGTACGAGTGCGTGTGGTGTCTGTCTGGCAGATGCGGTGGAGGTGGACGCGTCACTCACAGCTGATGGGCATTTGGTGGCACTGCACGACAGGTGAGAGGGGTATCTCCCGGTATAGTGCGGTGTAGAAGGTGTGATGTGGGGCAGAAGCGGTGGAGGTGGACACGTCACTGATGGCTGATGGACACCTGGTGGCTTTGCATGACAGGTGAGAGGAGGAAAGGGGTGTATGTGCCGGTACAATGCGGTGCGGAGGTGTGTGATGTGATTTGTGCTAGTATGACATGTGGTGGAGGGAGGGGGTGGGGCTGATGCGGTGGAGGTGGACGCGTCTCTCACAGCCAATGGACACCTGGTGGCGCTGCATGACAGGTGAGAGGCGTATCTGCCAGTATAGTGCGGTGTAGAAGGTTTGGTGTGGGGCTAATGCGGTGGAGGTGGACGCGTCACTTACAGCTGATGTGCACCTGGTGGCGCTGCATGACAGGTGGGAGGGAAAAGGTGTATGTGCCGGTACAATGCGGATATTGTAATTGTTGATGGGCACCTCGTGGGCACCTGGTGGGCACCTGGTGGGCACCTGATGGGCACCTGATGGGCACCTGGTGGGCGCCTGGTGGGCGCCTGGTGGGCACCTGATGGGCACCTGATGGGCACCTGATGGGCACCTGGTGGGCACCTGATGGGCACTTGGTGTACACCTGATGGCAATGCATGACATGGTCGCCTCTTTGCCTGCTTTGCTCGCTTTCTCCCCTCCCTCCTTGCTCTACCAGAGATGTCCAGTTGCTCCTCAACGACCCATCAGCACGGGTCCCCTCCCTGGTCTTCTCTCAACTACTTCACCTCGACTTATCGCCTCTGTTCTGTGGCCTGCTCTGCTACCTCTCCCCCCCTCCGTGCTCCCTCCTTGCTCCACCACCAGGGATGTCCAGTCGCTCCTCAACGACCCGTCAGCAAGGGTCCCCTCCCTCGTCTTCTCTCAAGTACGCCAGCTGGATTTATCACCTCTGTGGCCCGCTACCTCTCCTCGCGATGCTGCAACGCAGCAAGTTCCTGTTCTCACGCTGCAGCAGGCATTACAGGTACGATTTCCTTTGAGCATCTGGATCGCTCCTCTCAAATACGCCAGTTGACTTATCGCCTCTATGGCCTGCTACCTCTCCTCACTACCCTGCAGCTGAGCAAGTTCCTGTTCTCACGCTGCAGCAGGCACTACAGGTACGAACTCCCCCTCAAATCCCCCTCAATTTCACCTCACTTTCACCTTCGCTTCCCCCCTCTTCTTCCCTTCTGTCCGCTCCTTCTTCCCTTGTCTCTTGTTTGCGCCTGGGATGACGTGGCAGGCTCTCATTGGCCGAGTGAAGCACATTACCGTGGATGTTAAGATTGCCACGTCAGCAATCGCTGAGAACAGGCACATGGCACAGCGGCTTTTGAACGTGGTAAAGAAGCTGGACAGACTCCGTTTGCCACCACAGAACCACTTAAGATAGATCCCAAATTCATTGAACCGCACTCCATCTCTGCAATCCAACACCCCTTCTCTTCTTCTTGCTGATTGCCTACTCCTTTTCCTACTGGCCTGTTTCTTTGAGACTGATTGCAGTTTGAAAGGGTCGGTGGGTGTGACGAGTGCCTGTTGTGGTCCAAATGAATATCAATGTGACTCCTCCCCCTTTACCTCCGCCCCTTCTTTCTCTCTTTTCTGAAATCTTATTGCAGTTTGAAAGGGTCGGTGGGTGTGCCGAGTGCCTTGTGTTGTCCAAGGAAGATCAGTTCATCCGCCACTTGTCGCGCATCCAGCCGTCCATCAAGGTGAGCCGATCTGGGACGTTAGTGCATGTCTCGTTTTGCTGCTAGCAGTTCTCGGCCTTTCACTTGAACTGCAATCATGCGATGTGAAATCTCAAACAGGGTACATAGTGTGGAGGAACTTCAAGACTGGAGTGGTGAATGGGGTGACTTGACAGGCGCCTTGTGCTGTCACCATAGTATCTGCACTCTATGTGCATGCATGTGTTGTGCTTCCTTGCGTGTGGCACAGGCAGACTGGGTACCTAGTGTGGAGGAACTTCAAGACTGGGGTGGTCAACGGGTTGCTGCGTCGTGAGTCGTCGCATGTGGTGGGACTGGCAGAGAGCCTGGCTACACTACAAACCGTTAACGATGCCCATAAGTAAGTTTGGCGGCTGTTTTGGCTGGTTTCAATAAGTTTCACACTACGACCCTACAAATTCTCCTCTCCACGGGAGTGCGTCTGTTCATAATTAGCCATTCGTTGATCCGAATTCCCATTATTTTTCACTGTCGTATACCTCTACCTGCAGGGGAGGCAAAGAGGTGCATGTGTGGACAGTGGATGACAGGGCAGGAATGAGGAGAGTTCTAGGGTTGCCTGTTGATGTCGTTGTTACCAATAACCCAGTGCTGCTTCGAAAGACAATGAGGCAGCTCCAGAATCAGTGTAAGCATGCTGGCCTAGGTTAATCAACTTCGAAGTTTATGTGAGAGTTTCAGGAGCTTCTGATGCAGTTCAACACCTGCGTGTGGTTGGTATCAGCTTTTGGCAATAAAGGAAATATGCTGAATTTGCAGCTGGATAGTGATGCGTGAAGCCCCTGAAACCCACGGCAAGGTGATAATATGATTCCGTTGTGCAGCTCAGAGTGCAGCCCATTCTACATTTAGGGTGCATTCCTGCGGGGACACTTGTGTCTCAATCCCCGTTTTCACGAGTCGTGTCTGTAAATTTGCCAAATGTTGTGTCACAAACAACCAATGTATCGCTAATTCCCTTGAAGAAGATGAAGGAGGGTTGGGTGGAGGCCCGGAAAGAGTCCTACAAGCGTACAAAATGGGCGGCACGCTGGTGGTGTCATTGATTGGAAACGGGCTGTGAACACGCGAGACTCGCTGGCGGTTCCTAACCGTCCACGTGATGTGCTTACCAGAATTCACGGTCTGAATCTGCAAGTGGGGGAGAGACTGGCGTTCCTCAGCAGCAAGCCGGTGTGCCCTTATTGCGGGGAAACTGAGACTTTGGAACACTGCCTGGTCCTCTGCCCCAGGATCCAGGTGGTTTCCGGGGCCCTTCGGCGCGCTCTGGGCATGCTAAACCCCAGCCGCACGACAGTCACGCTGGGTGATCTTCTGTTTCAGGAGGCTGGAACCAGCTCAGCTTTTCCGGAGCTGACGTTGACATCTATCACTTTGCACCAATTATGGCTCGAGCGGTGTGAAGCAGTCTTCAGGGGGCAAAAGTTTCGGACACAACGAGTCTTGAGGCGGATTGAGGTGGCTTTTCGGCAGCATGTGAGACTGTACACCCACAGATTGGGGCCAACGTGGCAGAAGCGGAGGCAGCAGGATTCGTCGGAGGAGCGGAACATGCTTGGGAAAATCAGGGAGGATGGCAAGGACCTAAGGTGGAAGAGTGGCTTTGCAGCATTATGGTCGGCACGGAGGGCCAAGAACACTCGGCCCTAGAATCTTATCTGGAGCAAGGGTCCCCCCTAGTTCCTCACGCACGGTTATGACCGTTCTTGTCAGTATATGCTTGTACACTCGGTATATACCTTCAATTATTAAAAAAAAAAAAAAAAAAAAACCAATGTATCGCGATCTTAAAATAGGCTAGAGGAGAAGTATCGAAAGTGATGATTGAGTGGTGAGAGGCAAGGGATACAAGTGTCGACCTAAAGTGTTGTGCCCTTTAGAGGGCAACTCACTGTAGCCTAGACTAACAATATAAAGAATATAAAACATTTGACACACCCCCATAGGCTAAGTGAGGGGCATCAAAGCAAGCAAGGTGAGCACACGGTCACAAGACCAGTCAACGCAAGAAACAAGGCAAGCTCAGGGTGGATCTCAAGGATACCACACAAATTCCGAGCACATGCAAACGGCCACAAGGCCAGTTCAAGAGTTCACTAGAATATAAATAGGAAACACAACAAGCAGAGCAAGCAACAGGACTACAGCAACCGAGGGCCAACCTCAACAAGCCCCAACTGCACACAGAACCTGTGGTGGTCACCAAGTGCTAAGGCCTTGGTGAAAACGTCTGCAGTGTTGGCCTCTGAGGCCACAAAGTCCAGGCGAGCCTGGCCGCGTCGCTGCAGCTCTCGCAGGAGGAAGTACCTCACGTCAATGTGCTTCACTCTGCTCTCCAGTCGAGGCTCTCGACATAGGAGGATCATGGCCTTGTTGTCAGCGTACAAGGTCGGTGCAGAGCGAGGCCGCTCACCAAGGTCGGCAAGCAAGAAGGTCAACCAGCGAAGCTCCTGTGCCGCCATGGCACCAGCGTAGATCTCTGCCTCTGCGCTGGAAGTAGCCACAGACGACGACCGTGTAGACCTCCACGACACAGCACCAGCTCCCAGGCTGAAGCAGTAACCCTGAGTCGAGCGCTGAGTCTCCACGTCGTCAGCGTAGGAAGAGTCGCAGTGACCAGTCAACACCACTGGCTGAGTCCCTCCAAGCACAAGCCCCATGCCTGATGTAGTCGCCAGGTACTTCGCCACCCTCACAGCTGCTGTCCAGTGGACAGGACGGTGTCTCCCAGTCGCAACAAAGCGAGAGAGGACGCTGAGGGGAAAGGCGAGGTCCGGCCGAGTACAAGTCATCAGGTACATGAGGCACCCCACCAGCTCTGCGTAGGGACCACTGGACTCAAAAGGCTCGTCGGGAAAGGGGCCAGTGAGTCTGTGGTCAACAGCAAGAGGAGTGGGCTGTGTGGTGGAGAACTGGAAGTCGAACCGCCGAAGGACCTGCTGCACCATGTGTGACTGCGACAGTGTGATGGTGCGAGCGGCTCTGTCCCGGGTAATCTGCAAGCCAAGGTAACGCTGCAGCTCACCCAGGTCAGTGCACTTGTGTCTCTTCTGCAGTTCGGACTTCACCTGAGCCAGGGCTGCCCTGTCTGCTGTAGCAAACACCAAGTCGTCGACGTAGACAAGGATAAAGAAGGGAGAAGAACCCCCTCGAACAAACAGCGACGGGTCGGCGGAGGACGGGCTGAACCCAAGGTCACGAAGTGTGGAGCGAAGAGTGTCGTGCCACTCACGGGGCGACTGGCGGAGACCGTAGACTGGTCGCCTCAGGCTCCACTGGGTCCCAGGTGGGAAGGTGTCAGTGAAGCCAGGAGGACGGCGCAGCCAGATCTCCTCGTGCAGTCGGCCCTGGAGGAACGCAATGGAGAAGTCGAGGGAGTGCAGCTCGTAGTCTCGCTGCGCTGCTATGTGGAGTAACACCCGAAGAGTAGTCATCTCCGGGGTCGGGGCGAAGGTCTGGAAGAAGTCAACTCCCTCACGCTGACTGAAGCCCCTAGCCACGTAGCGCTCCTTGAACACCGGCGGTGCTCCAGGCGGCCGCTTCACCTTGAAGAGCCACATGCCATCGACTACTTTCGCCCTGGGAGGGGGAACTGCGTCGACGTAGGTGCCTGTGGATCTCCAAGACGCCAACTCTGAGTCCATAGCCGCTTTCCACTGAGAGGCCCACGCCCCTGACACTGCCTCGCGGTAAGTGCAAGGAGTCGGCATGTCAAGGGCGTCGGGGTCTCCCTCAGGGGAGAGCAGCATGGCACACACAGAGGGAGAAGCGACTGCCCAGTACTCCAGCTCAGACTCTCTGTCCTCTAGGACGTCACAGCCAAGGGCAAACTCACCCCCGACGGACAGAGGACGGTAGGGAGGAGCTGGCACCACACGGGTGGCGTAGTCAAGGCGGCTGGCGGCAGCAAACCCAGCGACAGCGGCAGTGAGAGCAGAGACCGACGACGGAGGGAAACGAGAGTCGGTGACAAGAGTGGCAAGGACACGTGCGGCAACAGGACGAACAATGCAGTAGTAGTCAGTGATAGGAGTGGGGAGGGCTGGGAGAGAGGACGGAGAAGGAGACGGGAGAACGGACACAGGAAAAGGAGAACGACGACGAGACGTACAAAGGAGGGCAGTGTGGAGGTCAGTAACAGGGGACGAGTGACGAGCACGCGGAGGACAACGAGTGACCAAGTCGCGACGGACCGAAGAAGGAGGAGACTGGGGAGGAGTAGAAGACCAGACCGCCGGACGGTCGTCAGGAGGAGGCAACGGAGGAACAAACACAGGAGGAGACTGGGGGCGGACAGGAGGAGAGGAGGAAAGGCCAAGGGCCCGCAGGCCACTCACAGGTGGGAACAACTGCCGCTCCAGAGGAAGCTGCGGTGGCGGCGGCGGCTGCGGCTGCGGCTGCTGCTGCTGCGGCTGCTGCGGCGGCTGCTGCTGCTACTGCTGCTGCTGCTGCTGCTGCCGCTGCTGCTCCAGAAGTTCCAGTACCCGCAGCTCCTGCCGCTCCCTCTCCAATCGCTCCTGCTCCTCACGCTCACGCCGGCGGGCAGCCTGGAGACGTCTGTCGTGGCGGTGGGGAGGCGGAGTGGACTCCTCAGAACCAGCACCTTCAGTGCCAAGACCTCCAACTCCAGCACCCCCAGAACTAGCACCACCAGTGCCAGCACCTCCAGCTCCAGCACCCCCAGAGCTAGCGCCACCTGCGCCAGCACCTCCAGCTCCAGCACCCCCAAAGCTAGCGCCACCTGCGCCAGCACCTCCCGCTCCAGCACCCCCAGAGCTAGCGCCACCTGCGCCAGCACCTCCCGCTCCAGCACCCCGCGACCGAGTACCCCCAGACCGAGCACCGCCAGCGGCTGCACCTCCAGCTCCAACACCAACCGAGTCCACAGTAACCTGTCGCGGAAGTGCCGAAGGCTGCTGAGGGGACTGTGAGGAGGACTGTGGGGAGGGAGCCGCTACCTGACGCGCGACCGAGGGTAGAGGGGTAACGTGGGACACACCAGACGGGGCAGGACCAGGGGGGGGCGGGGGTACCGGAGGGGCGGGAGCAGGAGGAGGAGAGGGTGCGAGGAAAAGAGGGGGAGGGGGTACCGGGAGACCTCGACAGGGGTACCGGGTGTAGTAGGACACAGACTCGTCAAACCGGACGTCACAAGAGTCTAGGAACTGGTGGAGGGGCGGGTGGTAAAAGGACCAGTCGGCGGAGTCCACTGGGAAACCAAGGAAGACACAGGGGACGGCGCGTGCCGAGAGCTTGTCCGCGGAGGTGTCGCGAACAAGCGCAAGGCAGCCCCAGACTCGAAAGGCCGACCCAACACCAGGGGAACCAGTCCAAAGACTGGTCGGTGAAGCCTCGGGCCGCGAGACACGCGGCTGGAGGTTCAACTGGTGTGCGGCGTAGCGAACCGCGTGAGGCCACGGAAAATGGGGCGCACGGGCATGGATCATGGACGTGCGGGCGATGTCCATGACCAAGCCTATGCGGCGCTCAACAACCCCATTCTGCTGTGGGGACTCTGGCAGCGTCCAGGACTGGGTGATGCCCTGTTCGCTGCAGAATCCGCCGAGAATGCCGGAGCGAAACTCGCCCCCACGGTCGGAGTGGAGACAACTGACTCGACGACCACGAGTGCCCTCAGTGGCTAGAAGCCACCTGATCAGCGTAGCAGTCACCTCGGACTTCTTCGCAAGAGGGAACACTGTGGTGTACCTGGAGAAGTCGTCGACGACCACCAGAAAGTAACGCTCCCTTCCAGACCCCTGCGTCGGGGCAGGGCCCCGGACGTCCAAGTGGAGAGTCTCGAAGGGAGCGGTGGCCGGACGAAGGGAGGAGGAGTGGGGAGTGGCGCGTAAGCGACCGGCGGCGCACGGAGAGCAAGGAGGGGCAGGCGAGAGAGGGAGCGACGGGAAGGTGCGTGGGAGACCTGAGACGAGTCCCTGGCTGAGCATGCTACGTAGGCGAGGGAGCGACGGGTGGCCAAGGCGGTGGTGCCACAGGACGGTGCGGTGGGTGAGAGAGCGACAGGAGCACGACGCAGCGACGGGACTGGACACAGCGTCCGGACCGGACACTACTGCCTGACTAGACACAGCAACTGGACTGGGGACCTGGGCCGAAGGGGACGCAACGACCTGAGGGGAGGACGCGACCGGGGAGCGCTCGGTGTGGAGGACGTAGAGACCGGAGCGGGGCTCCCGGGTGAACGTGGCCAGAACAGCACCTGTGGTAGCGTCTGTACAGACTGCAGTCCGTCCACCCCCCACGAAGGTAACCGTGATCCCCCTGTCCTGGAGGTATCCAACACCCACCAAGTTCCGAGTGAACGAGGGGATGTGGAGGCCGCGCAGGACACCAGAGGGGACCACAGGGCAGGGGAGGGTGGTGGAGCTGCGCGCAACGGCTGGTCCAGAGGTGGGATCAGCCAGAGCCACCGACACAGGGGTGAGGAGTGGTGTAAGGGTCGTGTGGTCGCGGAAGAAGCACTGAGACGCGCCCGAGTCCAGCGTGAACGACAGAGAGGCCTCAGCCGGAGGGTCACCTGACTCAGTCGCTACACAAGCACCTAGAGCAACAACACAAGCACCTAAGCTAGACAGGCACAATGCTACCCTAGCGGGAGGCAAGCAGGCTAACCTACGAACACGCGAGTACACAGATCCATCAGCACTATAGTCAGCATCAATATACAAAGCATGCTGACGCGCATCGTCCATGGACAGATCAAAGACATCAATCTTACGGGCTAACAGACGAGACCAGCGAGGCGTGACCGCCAGAGGGCCCCAACGAGCCCGGTAGAGGTCGTCGAGGCGGCGGAAGCACCGCGCGGCAGAGTGGTCGTCGCGACCACAGAGACAGGGGCTGCCCGGCCCGGTGACGCACCAGTGGGTGCAGGGGCCAGCGTCACGGCGAGGGGGGCGAGGGGCCCAGCTGGAAGAGCTGCTGCTGCGGACGGTGCTCCCAGGGCCTCCCGGACCCCACTGCGGCGGGGGACCCCAGTGCTGCTGCGGACCCCACTGCAGTGGGGGCCCCCACTGCTGGAACTGCTGCGGTGCCTGCTGCTGCTGCTGTCCCAGCTGCTGCTGCTGTCCCTGCTGTGGCTGGTGCTGCTGTGGCTGCTGCTGCTGGGGGGCAACGCCCCCGCCGGGCAGGCCACCACCTGTGGGTGGGCATGTCTGTCCTGCACCTCCTCCAAGGCCCCCTCCCCCTGGTGCACCACCGCCGCCGCAGCCGCCGCCGCCGCCGCCTCCGCCACCACCGCCGCTCCCACCTCCAGTGCCACCTCCACCGCCGCCTCCACCACCCCCACCTCCCCCCTTCCCGCCCTTCTTGCCACTCTTGCCCCGTTTCAGCCAGTCTGCGGCAGAAACGGCAGCAGTGTCCTCAGAGACCGACACAGCAGCAGAAGCGCGGGTAGCGGTGAAAGTGGGAAGCTGAGGGGCAGCACACCCCGCAAAGAGACGGGGGGCCACCGCATCAGTGGCGGAGGCAACGGTGAGGAGACTGCTCTCGATGGTCCCTAGAGCAGTCGCTAGGAGGTCGATAGTGAGCTCAGTGGGGTGCTTCTGAAGAAGCGCGTCGCGGGCAGTGGCAAGGCGGTCAGGGAGGCGGGTGACTAACCAGTGAAGAGTGAGCCACATGGGGGGGGGAGCAACAAGAAGCTGTGCGTCGGTACAGGCAGCGCGGAAACCGGTGTCAAGCGAGCGGAGGTGAGTCACTAGGTCGGAAACAGTCGCAAACGAGCCTAGGTCGGGAAACACAAACGGCATGAGGAGGCGACTGAGGGAGGCAGAGGAGGGGGTGGAGTAGCGAGCAACAATAGCCTCCCAAACCCCCTGTGCAGTCTCCACCGGGTCAAAGTGGGCGGCCTCAGTCGGGGGGAGAAGCTCCGACAGAGTGAGAGCGGCGGCTGCGTCACGCGAGAGCCACACGTCCCTGGCCAGGACCCGACGGTCGTAGTCCGCCTGGGCCGTAGGGGTCGGCTCCGGGGCGGTCGGCAAGGCGGCGGGGGACGGGGGGGCCTGTAGAGCACCAGACGCGTGAGCCCACAGAGTGGCGCCGTCCTGCCGCTGGCTGGTGAGGAAGCGCGTGGTCTGGCGCTGCCAGGAGCTAAACTCTATTGGGCGTCCCTCCGCGTCGAAACGGAGGCGACGAGACTCCATGACTGATGCCATGCTAGAGGCGGCTGGAGCTCGGCAGAGGCTGAGCTAAGAACGAGGAGGAAACCTACGGAGCGCCAGGAGGGAGAACGGCGGAGTACTGCTGGAGCACGGAGGAAAACAGAGCTAGGAACGCCACTCTAGTAAACGGCTGGAGGAGGCAGGGCTGACGAGCCAGAGAGTCGTTCGAGGGGCTGGCGGAGCGAGGAGAGACCTAGCTAACCACGAACGTCAAGGCTACCCTAAACAGCTAAGCGGAGCGGCCTCCAGCCGCGACGGTGCGAAACACTGTGAGTATGAGTGACGCGAGTGACGAACCAACGGAGGTCGGGTGGTCCTAGGTGGTGTGCGCGCGAGATAAGGGGATGTGAGCGGTTGGAAGGGGCTGTGAGCGGCTGGAAGGGGTTGTGAGCGGCTGGAAGGGGCTGTGAGCGGTTGGAAGGGGCTGTGAGCGGTTGGAAGGGGCTGTGAGCGGTTGGAAGGGGCTGTGAGCGGTTGGAAGGGGCTGTGAGTGGTTGGAAGGGGCTGTGAGCGGGTGGGAGGTGCTAGCTGGCGCCAACTGCTGGCGGCTAGGTTCCGGTGGCTAGCTGTGGCCGGCGGCTAGCCTCTGCCTAGCCGTGCTGCTGCTGCAGGAGCACGCGCTGCTGCCTAGCCGTGCTTCTGCTGCAATGCACGCGCTGCTGCCTAGCCGTGCTGCTGCAGCAATGCACGCGCTGCTGCTGCAATGTGCGTGCTGCAGTGGCGTGCGCGGCTGCCGCTGGCTAACGTGCGCGCTGCTGCGGGCTAAGAACAACTACGCGGGCCCGCGGGTGGGGGGGGGGGGGGGGGGGGGAGAGAGATTCCCCTCTGGAGCGCGACGAAACGAGGGGCCAGCGGGGCCTTTTAAGCGCGACAAAAACGAGGCCCGCGGGGGCCGTCCTACCCGCGACGAAACGAGGCCCGCGGGGGCCCTTAAACGCGACGAAAACGAGGCCCGCGGGAGCCCTTAAACGCGACAAAAACGAGGCCCGCGGGGGCCCTTAAACGCAACGAAAACAAGGCCCGCGGGGGCCGTCCTACCCGCGACGAAACGGGGCCTAAGGGACGGGCGCCTCGGGACTGGCTAAGGGAGGGAGCGGAAGCGTGGGAGGGATTAAATAACCTACTCTAATACCATCTTAAAATAGGCTAGGGGAGAAGTATCGAAAGTGATGATTGAGTGGTGAGAGGCAAGGGATACAAGTGTCGACCTAAAGTGGTGTACCCTTTAGAGGGCAACTCACTGTAGCCTAGACTAACAATATAAAGAATATATAACATTTGACACGCGACTCTAGGCGACCAAGCGAAATGTACAGTTGTGCGCATTTGATTGGGTGACACAAATGACTGTACATCCCTTTCTTCAACCGCTTGGCTGGGGTGTGGTTTCGACGCGCGGGATTTTTTCCCGCACGAAATTGGCTCTGCAGGCTGTCCAGGTGCATTGACATTTCGAGCAGCATGCGATTTTTTCACGTTGACGAGTCGGATTACAATTCGTCAGCGACGTCAGCACGTTTCACGCTGACCAATAAAAAATACAGTCATGGTCGCAGAAAGGCGACTCGCAATTGGGACACACTACAGCTTATGCTGTTTTTGTGTGTCACAAAGCGATTGAGACATTTGTGTCCCCACAGGAATGCACCCTTAGATCAGGTTATCTCCCCCCCCCATTTACATGGTTCAATGGAAGGCCAAGACTCTTAAAGCCCGAGGTGAGCATGGTTTTTGCCAAAACTACTGAAGGGCTTTGAGTTTGTTGGCGAAATGGAAAAAGGTTCACTTAGGGAAGATGGGCGTGGCGAAAGCGAAATGAGCAACGAGGAGATTGTGTAGTCGTCACTCAACATCAGTTGGAGCGTGCGACAAACCAACCCAACCGAATGAGGAGAAACCACGGAGTGTGGAAGCCCAACCTCACTACTTTGGCCTAGAAACAATATACGAGGAAAAAACATATCGACAGCGCATCAAAGAGTAGAATACATAGCCGCTCTACAATTCTAGCCTCCCCTTCCTCATCGAGCTCTTCCCCTCGTCGCGCTTCCCATTGCCTCGCCTCTCGTCGTCGCGCCTCACCTCGCCGCGCCTCCTGTCCCATCGTCATGCCGACCCTCAGTTCCTGGGAGCCTTCGTTAGTCGCGCCGCTGCTCGCCCCGCCGCGTCTCCGCTAGCCTCGCCGCACCTCCGCAAGCCTCGCCGCACCTCCGCAAGCCTCGCCGCTCCTCCGCTCGCCTCGCCGCGCCTCCGCTCGCCTCGCAGCGCCTCTGCTCGCGGCGCCGCGCCTCCGATCGCCTCGCCGAGTCTCCGCTAGCCTCGCCGCGCCTCCGCTAGCCTCGTCGTGCCTCCGCTAGCCTCGCCCCGCCTCCGATTGCCTCGCCGCGCCTCCGCTCGCCTCGCAGCGCTTCCGCTCGCCTCGCCGCGCCTCCGCTCGCCTCGCCGCGCCTCCGCTCGCCTCGCCGCGCCTCGCTCACCTCGCCGCGCATCCCCTGCCATCAGTGCGCCAGCACCCTCGTCGCGCTGCCCCTCCTCACGCCTCCAATCTCGCTGCACTTCTCCCACCTGCCCATACCTTGCCCTCGCTTCCCTGCATTTTCATTCCCACGTGTTACCTTCCCCTTATTTTTGCCTATGCTTCTCCTCATTCCCTTCCCCTCATTTCCCCCTCTCCTTCCCCTCCCCTTCTTCCCCTCATTTCTCCGCCTGCTTCCCCTCATTCTTCCCTCTGCTTCCCCTCATTTACTCCCCTGCTTCCTCTCGTTTTCCCCTCTGCTTCCCCTATTTCCCCCCTGATTTCCCTAATTTTTACCCTCCTGCTTCCCCTTGTTTCCTGCTCTACTTCCCTTCATTCATCCCTTTGCTTCCCTTTCTCCTCGTTCCCCTCATTTACCCCGCTGCTTCCCCTCGTTTCCCCGTCTGCTCTCATTGTTTCCCCCTCTGCTTCCCCTGATTCCCCCCCCTCCTTCCCCTCATTCCCCCCCCTCCTTCCCCTCGTTTTTTCCCCCTCCTTCCCCTCATTTCCAGTTCTGCCTTTCCTCATTATCCCTCCTGCTTCCCCTCCACCCTGCTTCTCCTCATTTACTCCCCTGCTTCCCCTCATTTCCCTCCCTGCTTCACCCCATTTTTCTCCCTGCTTTCCATGTTTGTACCCTCCTGCTTCCCCTGATTCCCCCCCTTGATTCCTCTCATTTCCCCCCTTGCTTCCCCTCATTTCCCTCCCTGCTTCACCTCATTTCCCTCCCTGCTTTCCCTGTTTTCACCTGCTTCCCCTCATTCCCCCTCCTGCTTCTCCTCATTTCCCCCTTTGCTTCCCAGGATTTCCCCCTCTGTTTCACCTCGTTTCCTTCCCTGGTTCCCCTCGTTTCCCCCTCTTCCTCCCCTTGTTACAACTTCCTATCTCTCGCTTTCCCTCTCCCGCTCTTCCCTATCTCCCCTCTTCCCTATCTCCCCTCTTCCCTATCTCCCCTCTTCCCTATCCTCCCTCTTCCCTATGTTCTCCTTTTCCTACGGTTTATTCTTCTTTCCCTCTCACTCTCTTCCTGTCTCCTCCTTCCCTTTCCTCCCCTCTTCCTATCCCCTTTCCTCCCCTCTTCCTATCCCCTTTCCCATCGTCTTATCTCCCCCTTTCTCTTCCCCCCTGCTTCTCTCTTCTCTTCACCCTCTTCCCTGTCTCCCCTATCTCCACTCTTCTAATCTCTATCTGTTTGACTTTTTTCTTGTTCCCCCTCCCAATCCCTTGTATTCTCTCCCTCCCCCTGGCTATTGCAGTAACTACACTGAAGATTTTTCTGGTACTTCAACTCACCTCAACCCATCATCCCATTCCATGCTCGTAGAGTTACAGTTCCTGTGTTTTTTCAGGGCCTTGAGAAAGGTTCAATCGTATATGTATTGCTTCTCTTGACCCTTGCCTACAATCAAAAGTATTAGAACATGCGTACATGCCTATGCATCTTAGAATAATATCTTGCACTGCAGAAACAAAAGTACCGCACATAGTGTGCCTTTGGGATGCATATCTCCAACAGTAATACAGTACGATGCGCGCATACAACAGACACGTAACAGGTGGTGTTACGGTGTAAAGCATCGACTAGCTGCGCCTCAGCTAGCAATTGTTGCTCCTTTGCTTCACCACTGAAAAATAGGGGAATGGAGAAGGCAGAAAGAATTGTGTGAAGGAACATGGGGGAGGTGGTGTGAGGTGCAAGGGACCAACGGCAACAGCAACGGCACATGATGAAAGCGTGTACGGGGAGACAGTGATGGGTCCACATGCATGGGAACTAGAGAGTGGTAGGTGAGTAGTGAGGGGGAAGGGGAAGGCATGAAAAGGAAGGAAAGGGTTGAGGAGGGATGGGGAAAGGAAGCGCAGGGCAGGGAGGGAAAGGTAGGGATAGGGAGGGCAGGGCAGGTGGGAACATGGCAAAGGGGGGGGGGAAGGAGGGCTGAGGGTGGTGGGAAGGATTGTGAGAGTGCGGGAGGAAGGAGAGAGATAGTGCGGGTGTGAGGAGAGAGAGAGAGAGAGAGAGAGAGAGAGAGAGAGAGAGAGAGAGAGAGAGAGAGAGAGAGAGAGAGAGAGAGTGCGGGAGGAGGGAGAGAGAGGGTGGGAAGAATGAGAGATGGAGGCAGAACGGAATGGGAGAGGGTGGGCGGAACAGAAGGAATAGGAAGGACACCTGGGCAGAGATTATGGGGGGGAGCAGGGAAGGGGATGGGGGGAAGCAGGGAAGGGGATGGGGGGAAGCAGGGAAGGGGATGGGGGGAAGCAGGGAAGGGGATGGGGGGAAGCAGGGAACGGGATGGGGGGAAGCAGGGAAGGGGATGGGGGGAAGCAGGGAGGGGGATGCGGGGGAAGCAAGGAAGGGGATGGGGGGGAGCATGGAAGGGGATGGGGGGAAGTAGGGAGGGGGATGGGGGGGAAGCAGGGAAGGGGATGGGGGGGAACAGGGAAGGGGATGGGGGGAAGCAGGGAGGGGTATGGGGGGAAGCAGAGAGGGGGATGGGGGGAAGCAGGGAGGGGTATGGGGGGAAGCAGGGAGGGGGATGGGGGCAAGCAGGGACGGAGATGGGGGGAAGAAGGGAAGGAGATGGGGGGAAGCAGGGAAGGGGATGGGGGGAAGCAGGGCTGGGGATACGGGGAAAGAATCAAGAGGATGGGGGGAAGCAGGGCAGGGGATGGGGGGAAGCAGGGAAGGGGTATAAGTTGGGGGAAGGAAGGCGATTATTGGAGGGAGGGAAAAGAGGGAGTAGGGAGAGAAAAGGGAGGGTGACAAGTGTGCGAGATGGGAAGGGAGACGGGAGGGAAGGCGAGGGCGACGGGGAGTGGATGGCAGGGCGACGGGGAAAGCGAGGGCGACGGGAAGGGAGGGCGACGGGAAGGGAGGGCGACGGGAAGGGAGGGCGACGGGAAGGGAGGGCGACGGGAAGAAGCGCGGGCGACGGGAAGGGAAGGCGACGGGAAGGGAGGGCGACGGGAAGAAGCGCGGGCGACGGGAAGGGAGGGCGACGGGAAGGGAGGGCGACGGGAAGGGAGAGCGACGGGAAGGGAGGGCGACGGGAACAAGGGTGGGCGACGGACGGAAGGCAGGGCGACGAGGGGGAAAGAAGGGCGACGGGCGGAAGGGAGAGCTACGGCGGAAGGGAGAGCTACGGCGGAAGGGAGAGCTACGGCGGAAGGGAGAGCAACCGTCGGAAGGGATATCCTTGACCCTCGACCGTGCGACCGTCTAGATGCGCAACCCGGGTTAGACGCCGGGGGGGTGGATGGAATTGTGACGTGCAGGCACGTGTTGGCGTCGCGCGAGTAACTATATCCGGTTGGGTGCGCACTGCGCACGCATGTGAGCTCTCTAGTTATTGTATAAATGGGACATCTCCGACTGGTTTTATGATTGGCTGTTCGTATTTGTCACCAAATAGGCTGCTGTACTGATACAGCTGCTACGGAGAAAAGGAGTGATGCGGAGAAAGTTTGGGCATGAAAAACGGGTGAACTAAGTAAACGTAGGCTGTCAATATGCCTGCCATTTAGTACAACATGGTTTTCAAGTTTACTGAAAGTGAACAGTGCTCCATTGCCCTCCGACCCTTTACTCAGTATGACTGGTTTTGTCGCCGGCCAATCATGGAACAACGTCGCAAAACCTCCCCTCTGGATCGCGACGGATATCCTCCACTTCGGGTGGAATCATGGTTTTTTGCGAATTCATATTCAGGAGTCCTGAACTTGAAAATTGCCATGTAGAACTCGGGCTTTAACGGCTCAATACAAACCAAGCGTGCAGCTCACTAATACGTGCAGCTCCGATTACGTGCAACCATACCAGTGTTCGAAATTATTAAGCTTCCGAACACAATCCACACTTATGTACATCAGTCTTGCACTGACGACACACATCAATTAGCTCACACGGAATTTCTTGTTGACTAGGAGAACTGAGTCGAAGGAGCTGGAGGACAGGAGAGTAAATGGTGGCCTTTCGAATATTTGACTCAGTAGGAACCTTTGATGTATTCACTCAACCGTTTCACCTCCTCACGATGCTCCTCCACGACAGCAGCAACCACGTCGCCAATGCTCAGCATCCCTTTCATCTTCTGTCCCTCAACCACGGGAATGTGGCGAATTCTTTTGTCTGTACCATAAAGAGCAGAACAAGAAGGTTTATGTCAGAAAACTGCTGGTTTTCAAGTTTGGTCACCTTTGCTGTTTCTTGCACAGGGAACATGGTTTACTCACCCGACATGATCTCCATGGCCTTGAGCAGCCGTGTCTCCGGTGTGAGAGTGATAAGCTTATTCTGCAATGTCATGACAAATAAGATGGTTACCGTATGTCAGATTTCTTGCTCATCATCCTGGCAGTAGACTACTTATTTCAAGCTTCTGTGCACATACCTCGTCAGTCATGATGTCGCCAACTTTTGTGGTCTTCGAAGACCGACCCTGTACAATGATTTTCCGGAGGTAATCTGTGACGCAAATTCAGCATGATGAGAGCATGTCAGCGAAAGAGAAATGAACAACAAGCAGCCAAAGAAAGGTGATGTAAACATGCTCCGCGCATTCACCTCTTTCAGTAACAATTCCCGCGATCGTCCCGCTCGTGTCTGGCCTCATCACCAAAAGCGCACCGACGTTGTGGCTTGTCATCTGCAACCATGAGCACGAATCCATCATTGAGACGACATCGTAGGCTAGCGATTCCCACCGAAAACATGTCAGAATGGTAAAAAAACAACGAATCTTGAGAAACCTCACCGATTTCACTGCATCGAACACGGTATCGTCCGTGGTGCACCAAAGCCACGACCCGTCATTGCCGGCTCCTCGAGCCCTCAGGAGGTCTGCGATTGTGGCCTGCTCGAATGGCAGCTGCTCCTCCTCTGACGACTCCGCTGGGTTAGTGGTGTTTGTAAACGATCTGTACGGAGCAGCTGAACGAACCCTCAGCGAAACTCCCGCTCGGCTGCCAAGAACACGGAGAAGTGAAGCCATTGTTCAAGGCTGAGCGACAGGAGACGTGACTCGTGAAACCGGAATCTCCAAAGAAAAAATACCAGGACAACCACGAAAGAAAAGCCTGAGAAGAAAAGACCACTTCACAGGTAGTTTTGCCTGGTGGTGATGTTCTTTAAGGCCTGCCTACACGAGACCAAGGTTGTGACAGACTGAAATTATTTGGAGCTGAATGTGAGCTTGTAGGGAGCAGAGAAATCGAAGCTTTGGGAAGAGCTGGCATGCACACACAGCGTTACAGGGCCAAGAGGAGCTTGTGGGGGTCTTGGTTCGGTAAGGTGGGGAGGTCTGACTTAGCTTTGGGTTTTGACGAGCCTGATGCGAAGGTATGAGGGGTTGTTCTTCCGCACGTGCTAATTTCTTGCCAAATCATAGGCAGGAAACGCCAGGTCCGACCCTGAGTTGATCCGATGTGGATGAGGCCGATAAGTGGTTCTTTGAGTGTGCCACGCATGCTTGTGCCAGCTCAGACTCGGCAGTTTTATTCTCGATACACGTTAAAGCGTTCATAGCGTTTGATTAGCCTGGAGCACACCGCCGTAAGTTTGACGCTCGTATATTGAGGGAGTACAAGTATCGTCGACTTTTTGTAACAGTCGTTTAGCGTGGTGTGAGGCCTCCACGTGGCTCGGCATTTCAAAAAATCTGGCCTCCTCCTTAAATGGGTTCTGTCGGCTTATGTACGGTTGATCTGGGTTGACTGCTGGTTCACGAATCTAGCACTTATGTGACGGAATTCCAATTTCCATCACCTTGCCCTCCCTCTAGCATTCAATGAAATTCACTGCCTACCTTTCCATTTCTCTGTCTAGACTGCTGCGGTTTTATCACGATTCACAGTCTCTTGTTGCTTGAATTATGGATTCCTTGCTCCACTGCAGTAATTCAGTCCTCCATCCCGCACCGCAGCACGCTTTGCGATGCCGCATTTCAAGACAAGCAGCATTACGAGCACCCGTCTCCCGCCTCGCTCGTAGTTTCGGACCTTCAACATTTGTCGGCAAGGTTCACGAGAATAGGCAAGTTACGAGGAGGTTAAGCGCTCGGCTAGGATTGCACGCCTGCCGAGCTGCCTCCTCGGATGGTTCATCTGCTTCAGCTGAAGACGAGTCACCACAGGCAAGGAATTCGTACGCATGACAAGCAACAACGCATCAGTCTGCATATTCAGCAATGCCGCTTATCTATATAAGTATGTTAACGGTAGTCTCATGATTTCATTCAACCGTTTTTAGATCGTCTGTATGATGTGCCTTGGTGTTGACGTGTACTCTCGCAGGTGCCTCGTCCAGCGCGGCGAGTCTCCGTTCCCGATTCCGTTGATGAGAGCGTTCAGCAGGTGAGACAGTTTCAGTGTAGTTAATTTCTTGAGGGGATGCAATAGCTGTTGCTGTGAGTGTCAGCCACTGTTTTTCACTGCTACTATCCTAGTCAGCTCGCAATTATCTCTGTACCAACAGCTTCACCTGCTGCCAATGCAGTTGTGCTGCTCGTTAGCACGATTATTCAATTAGTGATGTGATTCACCTGCGTCTTGCTTATCTTTTCAACCTGGGCTTTCAGGCTCGAGCAGCAGTAAGGAGGGCGAGGGAAGCAGGTCATCAACGTCTGATGCTGGACCTGCTCTTGCCGCTCATTGGCCCTTCACTCCTGGACGACTGGCCTGTAAGTCATAGTCAAATTCAGGAGCGGTCTTGAGACATTTACAACTTGTGCAGGGTGTTCCCGAGAAATTCAAAAGACACCCCTTTTCAGAATTCAAACGACACCCCTTTTCACACTAAGATGCTGGACCTGCTCTAGCCGCTCATTGGCCCTTCAACCCCCAAACGACAGGTCCATAATTCACCATAAGTTTCAAACCATACGAACCCTAGTCTCACACTTTACATCTCCATTATCAACAGAATGCCTTTTGCCTGAATCCCCCCTGATGAACTCACAGGGCGGCATTCAACAGCAGCTCCAAGCGGCCATTCCTCTGGTGGAATCGCTGCTCACAGGGATGGTGGACGGTGGGGAGCTGTACACACGGCGGGTGATAGATGAGGATGAGGCAGTGGTGGCGTGGGAGAGCAAGACGGTAGGTACTTCCAGGCGCTTCAACACAAGAAGGATGCATGCTGCTGTGCGGTGGTGTGGTGTGGTATGGTGTAGTGTTTAATGTGAATCGCCTGAGGGCCAACCTGTTTCTTGCTGCTGGACGCATCCTCATCATGAAACAATAAGTTTACGTGCCCACCCCCCCTTCCCCCCACCGCCCCCCCCCCCCCCCCCTCCCCCTCGCCCCCTTCCGCCCTCTCGTGGCCACTTCCATTTCGTGGGTCATTTGCTTCTCTTTTGCCCAACCAATTCGAAGGTTGCACTTGTGCTCTTCCCAACAGCCGAGCGCCTGCCAGCTGTCATGGAGCTGGCCAATAGTGAGCCAGAGCGCACGCTGCTGCTCATGAATCCGCAGTGGCAGCCAGGCCAGGTGGGTTGGTTTGTCCGCTTTGTGCACGCATGTGAAGACACAGTTCCTGTTCTTCATTGCAAGGTCCATCTGTTCGGTGGGTTGGTCTGTCTTTTTGTGCATGCATGTGAAGATACAAATCCTGCATTCATTGCAAGGTCCACCTGTTCGGTGGGTTAGTCTGTTCTATTGTGCATGCAAGTGACGATACAGATCCTGTAATTCATTGCAAGGTCCATCTGTGCATGAGAGTGGACGTAAATTCTATTCTTTGCGCTCCATCAACTTTGAATTCGCCTTTCCTGAACGTGTGAACTCCTGCGTGCAGGTTGTCTCAGATTTTGGATTTGGGAGCAAGCGCAAACAGGCAGAAGAGTTTCTAGACACCTTCCTCACTGCCTACAGTCTGAAGCGCAACCGCATCCGCTCGTATGATGTCACTCTCGTCAAGTGCTTCCCGGGCGATTGGCAGGTGCGCAAGAGAGCATCAATTGTGCATCCTTTTCCTTTTTTTTTTTTTGTTTTGTGAATGTGTTCCGCTCCTCCTCCCCCCCTCCCCCCCCCCCCCCCCCCTTTCACTCCGTAACCTGCCACATACTCTGATGTCCTACTTTTGCACTCCTTATCCATCAGGTTTACATGTCGGATGACAGTGGTAGTGGGTCTGATAGCTCTTTCCCAACATATGAGATGATTGGGACAGTGGAAAATCGGCCAAGTTATCGTGACCTTGAAGCGATGGTGCAAAAAAAGAGCAGTCAAGGGAGCGACTCAGGTGGATGGTTTGGGCGCATTGCCAAGGAGATCGAGTTCCTAAAGCGTTCCAAGTGACTGTCCATGCTTTAAGCTATAATATATAACAGCTAATAGATTATGTGGCCAGAATGTTGCAGTATAGATGGATGTTATGCCTCTAACCCAATGTAGTAAACATGCCGACGGATGCAGATGCTATAAAATTGTGAGAGGGTTATGTTTGACGTGAGGTTGTGTAAGGAAAATTCCTTCTCCTTACTTCGCGTCCCCGCTCAGCGCGTACACCACTGTAGCCCCACACTCAGCACCCTTACCACTCGTTACTCTCGCATCGACAATCCTCCCGCCACCTTCGCACATCGCACCCCGACCTCACGGCTCGGCGTATAACCCGCGCTCCGGGCCTCCGCTTCAACACTTTTCCCAACCTCAGTCCCAGGCCCGTCACACGACAACCACAGTCCATTACCGTTTCCACTGTAGTATTGCTATATATTCTTCGCTCATGCCTTCCCTCATTGTATTCTTGCTTCGATAGTGCAATTCTCGTTCGTTCGCTCAATTGCACTCGTAACACTTGGTATCAGAGCCTACGATCTCTTCTCGGACCGCACCCACACCCTTCGCTTCCCCACTATCTCAATTTTTGGGGGTGGTAGACGTCTCTCAGCGACACAGCACCGTCGCTCGTAGTGCTCTCTCGTAAGCACGCACGGCCACGACCGAGGCTCTCGCTGAGCTCGCCCGACACCTCCGCCATGGCCGAATTCACACTTGCAACATTGACGCAGGAGCAGCTCGACCGTCTGGTGCGCCAACTTGAATATTCGGCGCTCGAAATTGCGACACTCACGGCGGAATGTGACTCCGCGCGTCAGCAATCAACGGTGAACACTCCAGCGCCACCACACGCACCGACAAATGCATCTGCACAATCGGATGAGCCGATCGTCATTTCGTCCGGCACACCAACACAGAACAACAGCGTAGGACAACGCTCAGGCGCAGCCAGTGATGGCACCGCCCAGCCAATGCCTGGCATGGGAGGAAATAGGGTCGCACCAAGCCTGCAGGAGACTTGCGAAGCCCGTCGGCACGTGGAGTTCGCGGTGACAAGTGGCGAAGAGGCCATTATGGCACCAATGTCACTCAAGCCGCAACGCCCGTCCTGCTTCGACCCGAGCCAGCGTGGAGGTCCGACGGTTCAATCGTAGGTCTTTACGATGAACGTCTTCTTCGACGCAAATTACGTCGAGTCGGACGCAGCGAAGATTCGGTATGCCATTTCGCTGCTAAGGGGCCCTGCCATGGACTAGTGGCGAGTCATCGTGACGTTGCCACGCGCCTACGAGCCACCGTCGCAAGAGGAAGGGCCCACAGGTCCAGCTGTCACCTGGAGTTCATTCTGCGAGACCGCCCAATACAGCACGTGGGATGCGTGGTGCGCAGGGCTTCGGGCGCGCTTCGAGCCGATCGCGGCTTCTTTTTCGGCGCGTCAGAGATTGCGCACTTGGCGGCAGCTCGGGTCGATTCAAGACCATACGAGCGTTTTTCTCGCATTATGCGAGCAGGCCGGCTACATGCACGAAGCGGAGCGGATGGACCGTTACGTCGGAGGGTTGAGCCGGACATCTCGCACGAAATGATGCTACGCGGGCTCTCGAACTTCAACGAGATTCTCGCGCTCGCCAAGAAAATCGACATTTTACGCCGTCCGAGACCGGGGTCCTACTACGGACATCGTCCTCGGGGACCGACCGAGCACGCCATGGGTACACGCCGTTGCGACGAACGCAGCTGCCGCGCCGTTTAAGGGTCGCTGCTTTCCTTGCAATAGGCCGGGCCATCGCAAGAGTGAATGCCCAGAGGAACTAAGGCGCGGCAGAGCAGAGCAGAGGAGGGAGTCTCCAAGGCAGGGAAACGCCAGCACTCAGTAGGAATCGGGCCAACTACTGACGAGACCGCCTGCTCGCCCAACCCCACCGACCCTCACCGAGTCACAGTACCGATTCATGCTATCGATCAGACTCGGACGAATAAGGAGGGTATAGCGTCAGATTGCCCAGTACTGATCCACAGGAAAATACAAAGAGTGTCAAACTTATATGCTATAGTTTGTGTAGGCTGTAGTGGGGTAGACAATATGGGGTACAACATTTCTAGGTTTTCCTACTTGTACCCACCTCTTTCCTAGTTCATTCGTTCCACAATTCTCACATGGTATAGAGCAGGTTCCCTAGTGAGAACTTCCTAGGGCCCACCACTGAAAATCGACTTTTTTTTCTGACCGGAGCGCGAGTCGCCCCTGCTCGAAGTGCGCCCCGTGGGCTGCCCTCTTTTCGAGGCCTCCTAGAGGCCCCTCTCACGGCCCCTCGCGCCACCCTTAGCAGCCCCGTCGCCTCCCCTAGCGGCCTCGTCGCCGCCCTTCTAGGCCCCTCAAGGCCCCTTCGCGGCCCCGTCGCCGCCCCTAGCGGCCCCGTTGCTGCCCTTCCATGCCCCTCGCGGCCCCTTCGCGGCCCCGTCGCCGCCCCTAGCGGCCCCGTCGCCGCCCTTCCAGGCCCCTCGCGGCCCCTTCGCGGCCCCGTCCCCGCCCCTAGCGACCCCGTCCCCGCCCTTCCAGGCCCCTCGCGGCCCCTTTGCAGCCCCGTTGCCACCCCTAGCGGCCCCGTCGCCGCCCTCCTAGGCCCCTCGCGGCCCCTTCGCGGCCCCGTTGCCGCCCTTCACGGCCCCGTCGCCGCCCCTAGCGGCCCTTGTCGCCGCCCTTCCCGGCCCCGTCGCCACCCTCTAGCGGCCTCGTTGCCGCCCTTAACGGCCCCGTCGCCGCCCCTTGCGGCCCCGTCGCCGCCCCCCTTTTGGCCCCTCCCTGGCCCCTTCAACGCCGAACCGCCGAGCCGCCTGGCAGTCGAGCCGCCCAGCAGTCGAGCAACCGAGCCGCCTGCAGCCGAGCCGCCGAGCCGCCCAACAGCCGAGCCGCCGAGCCGCCGAGCAGCCGAACCGCCGAGCCGCCGAGCAGCCGAGCCGCCGAGCAGCCGAGCGGCCTGCAGCCGAGCCACCGAGCCGCCGAGGCCACCGTGGAGCCGCCGCTGCCTCTGCTGTTGCAGCCCTGTTCCTCCCGGCGCGCCCCGGCCCTACCCACCCGGACTGATGAGAGCCCTCCCTGCTAGACCACTAATGTCATGGCTACCCCCAGTGTCCTTACCTTTGATACTGAGGGTCGTGCTGTTGACTTCGAGGTCTGGGTCGATGACCTGCAGCTTTTCCTACAGTGCGATAAGGCAGACGGACTCTCCCTGTTTGTTCTTACCTCTAGTGCCTCTCGTGCCCCGCCTGCTGATGCTGACAGCACTGTTCTCTCACAGTGGGCCACAAGCGATGTTGCTGCCCGTCTCGCTCTGCGTCGCCACTTACCGTCCGCTGAGCGTGCGCACTTTAGTCAGTAGAAGAGTGCTAAGACCTTGTACGACACTGTAGTTGCACGTTATTCTTCCCCTGCCAGTGCTGCTCTTAGACGCCTCATACTGCCGTACCTGTTTCCTGACCTCGCCGCCTTTCCCAATGTCGCTGACCTCGTTATGCACCTTCGCACTAGTGACACCTGCTACCGCGCTGCGCTTCCTGCTGAGTTCTGCGCCAAGAACCCCCCCCCCCATGTACATCACCCTCTACTACATAGTCACCCGGCTCCCTGACTCCCTCGCTCGGTCAGGGACCACTTCCTCTCTGTTTGCCCCACCACACTCACCGTTGACCTCCTCGAGGAGCGCCTCCTTGCAGCTGTGAAGAGTAAAGTCGTTGTAGGAGCCTCTAGAGGTGACCCGCGTGACCCTGTCTTTGAGGGGTGCTCCCCCTCCCCTCTTTCGCCCTCTGTTGCCTCTGATGCTGCCGTTGACTTCGTTGGCACCGAGTCGGTCGGCGCTGCGTCTGCCCCTTGCGGACAATGCCGCACCTGCAAGGGTAAGGGGGGCAAGAGCGCTGGAGGGGCTGGCAGGGGCGATCGATGTGGAGGTGGAGGAGGCGGAGGGAGTGGGGGTGGTGGTGGGAGTGGTGGCGGGGGTGGGGGCTTCGGTGGCGGCGGTGGCGGCGGAGGCGGCGGCGGCGGTGGCAGTGGAAGCGGAGGAGGAGGCGATGGCGGTGGTGGCGGAGGTGGTGGCGGAGGAGATGGAGCTAGTCAGGGTGGCTCTGCGCAGCGGGGCGGCTTAGGTAGTGGTCAGCGCCAAAGGCAGCAGCGCACTCGTGAGACCTCGTCCCCCCAGCAGCTTCGTGAGTGGTACGCTGGGCGTCAGCGAGGTGGGGGTACTGGTCCCTGTACCTACGTCCTCCGTACCGGCGACCGCGCTGGTGAGCAGTGCGGGGGCTCGCACTCCACCCAGCGCTGCTTCGGCCGCCTGACGGACGCTTGGCGTCACCAGTTCCCTGACGCCACTGAGATCCCTCGCAGGGGAGAGCTGTCTAGGGCGGGGGTTGCTATCTTTGATCTTGACTATGATGCTATTCTTGCTGCCATGTATGCTGTGTCTACTAGTGATGAGGGTGACTGTTACCGATGTATTCTGCCTGACCCGGGCATTGAGGCTGCTGCTCTAGGTGCTAATGAGGCTGCTCCTCTAGGTGCTAGTGCGTCTGCTGCCCCAGGTGCTGGTGAGTCTGCTCTCTCAGGTACCACGTTGGCTCAGGCCTTACACACCTTCACCCTTGACTCAAGTGCTTCCCGCTCCTTCTTTCAAGACCGCTCCACGCTTACGCCGCTTAGTCGGCCGGTTGCAGTCTCCCTAACGGACCCCTCTAGGAGTCCTGTCCTTGCTAGCTTCTCCACTGTCTTACCGTGTCCAGCAGCCCCCTCTGGCACCCTGTCAGGTCTATACCTCCCCTCGTTCTCTACGAACTTGGTGAGTGGTGTTGATCTACAGGATCGGGGGGTTGACCACTTCACTCCTGTGAGTTAGCGGGTGACCCACTGTACGTGTGCTCGGACGGGCCGACACTTGGCCACGGTTACCCGTCGGCCGGGGTCCAGCGTGTACACACTGACTACTGAGTCTCCTCTAGTTGCTGAGTCTGGTCACGTAGCTGCGTCA